ATTATTATTATTTTTATGTGTGTAATATCTCTCAGTGTCCAGCGCCTTGCGATGTCCTCCTGACGTGAGAGACGCTATATAAATGTAAATGGAAGTCTGAAAACTACTAAAAATATACCTTAAGAAAGATCAAAACTACAGTTATGGAGGTTTCAGTGCTGAAAATTGGCTATTCAGTGCCCCTGTGGTTACAGAACATATATTGTTATAAAGTACATTTATTTAGTGCAGGGGAAAGTTAATTTCTGTGTTATGGGCGTAGATTAGGTTTTAGCACCAGAGCTAAAAATATCAAATTAGCTCACATTCCCAAGACTAAAGAATACAATTTGCTCATTACATTAATTAATTTGGAGTAAATTGGAGCTTTTCCAATATTGTAAAACTAAAACTAATGATTGAGGAAAGGGGAGTGCATTTGATGTTCACTTTAATTACTTCATTTCTATTGTTAAGTCATTCAGTAGTTGTTAAATTTAATATGAACAGCGCTGAGAGACAATCCTGTGATTTTTTTTATAGATTATGAACACTTACAAAAGGCAGCAGCTTTGTAAGAGGTGCCTGGAAAATGGATTGAAATTATGTCGCTTTCTGTGTTTTTACGCTAAGGGACAATAGGTGCGGTTTTGCTAACCTCATGCTGGCTCATGTACCCAGGCCAAGTGTCAGTTTGAAACTGGGAATGAGAAGGGTTGAGTAACCCCCACAAATAGGGTCACTCAACCCACGGTTGTTTGTGGGACGCTGCAGTGCGCAATTGGCTGCCAGGTTTCGCCCACAAAATATACAGTCAATTCACTTTCAAAGTACTTTCCCTTCAATCCTGTGAAGCGCTTTGAAAGATTGCAGTAGGGAATTTATCGAATACCATTTAACACAAATATCACTGTAAAGACAGTAGTGTGACTCTAAGGAAGAGTTTTCACCATTGGGTACTGATCTCACAGCAGAGTGTTAAATAACATAGCTGTACATGGCCTGAACACAACTTAGTTTGTTCTGGAAGTGACTTTATTTGTCAGATGATTTATACGTTGACCTTTTTCCCAGGCAAAAAAGGGATTTGGTACATTTTAAAGTAGTGCTTTGAAGGGAAAGTACTGATACTGTAAAGTAACTCTTTGAAGGCAAAATATTCATTTGTCCTGTATGGAGGGCTTACAGTCACATTCTGGCACAGACTCTTCTAATGTTGGGTGTGCTGTGCGTTTGAACTCGCGTGTTGCTGTGTGTTACCTAACAGAAGCAATGTCACCACATGGGCCTTCTATAGGAGGCCAAGCACGCTGTTCATTGCTTTTTGAAGAACCAGTCTGTCTTCATCCATGGATTGGGATCGTTTGACTTCAGTGATCTGGCACTTTAGGCTGATCGTTAAGCAGAAGCCAGCGTCTGACTGGACTGAGAACGGGCTTGGTTTGCGTCACCTTTTAAGATAAACTAGTCAAATAACTACTTCTGCAAACTGCTCTACCAGTTGTCCATCAATTAACATTACTTCTGAAATATATGCATGGGTAAATAATTTATGTCAGGCTGTAGTTTCATGTTTACTTCAAACACTTTCCAAGTTGTAAATAACACAGTATTGGCTTTTAAGACCCCTCTTTTATGTCTTATAGAATCAATATTGTCTGCCGCAGATGGCAGTCTGACTGTGATAGATGAAGCATTCACTAGCCTCCAGTACCAAAGTTGACTTTCATGATTCTTGGTTGTATGACACATTAATATTCTTCTTCAAAAAGCCTTTTGTAGTTCACACCACAATGCTGTAATGCTGACAACAGACCAATTTCTATGCCATTTATAAATCCTTGTGTAGTTACTCTCTTTTGACCATCTCTTACAGCGACAGCCTGGTAAATTAAGACTTGATTTTCGCACCCATGCATTTGGGAGACAAATGATTATTTTGGAAAGAGTGTCTGAAAGAATTCAGCGATCCTAACGTCTTGTACGCTCATACTATCCTTAGCCCCATACGAGAGGCGATTCATGTTTGATTGCTTCCTTCTTTTTTCTTAACAAGGAGCCGAGTCAATAATATGTCAGTAATAATAATAAAAGTCAATAATAATAATAGTAATCCCTGCATTTGATACAGCGCCTTATCACGTCTTCGAGATGTCTCAAAGCGCTTCACAGGATATATTGTAAAGTGAATTGACTGTACATTTTGTGGGTGAAACGCGACAACCGATTGCGCACAACAGTGTCCCACAAACAGTCATGAATTGAGTGACCAAATTACTATTTTTTATTTTCTGAAAGTGATCCTCCAATCGACTAACAACCGGTTCCTACTTACTGTTAGGTAAACAGAGGCGTGAAGAGTAAGGAAACTTGCCCAACGTTTCACACCCTGGCCGGGAATCAAACCCAGATTGCTTGTGAGGGAAATGCTCTTGACCACTGAGCTACAGGACTTGAAAGTACAATTGTAATATAATATTTTACTGCAAAAAAATGCTGTTGCTGAGAGGATTTTGTGAGGATTAATTCCCGGTACACACATGCATCATGTCATTGCTAAATACATGAGTGATTATGCATGTGCATTGTACAAACTGCTGAATCACATTAGTGCTGTGGACCATTACGACAACCCTCAAGGAAGTTTGGAGGCAAAGTGCTCTCAAAAATTAATTCTCTGACTTTCAAAGTGAAGGTCTTCCACGTTTTTAATTTCTTGCCTCGGTTTTTCAAATGTTTTCTTCCCCTTAAAAAGTCTTCTGTTGCACGCAATTGCCGCAATAATAATTATAATGATAATAATCCTTTAATTTGATAGAGCGCCTTATCACGTCTTCGAGACAGACGTCTCACAGAGCTTCACAGAATATACCGTAAAGTGAATTGACTGTCTTTATTGGGCGAAACGCGGCAGCCAATTAGACACAGCACCGTCCCACAAACAGTCGTGGATTGAGTGACCAAATTATCAGATTTATGTTAAGAAATAATATCTGGGGGTACAGTCTATAGTTTGGGACATGGTATGTGCGTGCGACTGCCAGGATGGTGGAAGGCTAATTGGATTGACGTTTGCCTTCTTATCCCAAGATATTATTGCCTAAACGAAAGACTCCACACTTTCTGCTTCCACCATCTCCCCAGGGAGCCCCTTCCATACATTTACTCCTTGCTCCCTGAGGTAGCGTTTCCGTAGATTTGTTCTGAACTTTGTTCAATCGCAGGCCATGTCTTCTGATTCTGGTTTGTGGAGTCCTGTTGCTCAGTGGTTAAGGTACTCGCCTCGCAAGGTTTGCTTCCTGGCAGGCGAAATGTTGGGCATGCTCCACACACCTCTGTTTATCTAGCAGTAATTGGGAACCCGCTTGTTAGTCGATTGGCGGATACTTTTCTGGAGATAATAATCCCCCACCCGCCAAATTTTTAAAATTATAATTTAGTCACTCAATCCATGACTGTTTGTGGGACGCTGCTGGGTGCAATTTGCTGCTGCGTTTTGCCCACAAAATATACAGTCACCGCACTTTGCAGTGTATTCTGTGAAGCACTTTGCGATGTCTCGAAGATGTGATAAGGCGTTGTATCAAATGAGAGTATTATTACTGTTAGAGCCAGTGCTTCCTTTCCTAATCACTAGTCAGTGCAGTGGGAATTGGGTGTTGGGTAAAGACAAGTTGGTCAAATAACCTTGGCTCAAATAACAAGGGAAGTCACTGTTTGGGTAAGGCACGTGGAGAATAGCTACTTGGGTAAGAAAATCGGTGACTTGAGAAATCAGTCCCTCGGAGAGCAGAGAGGGAAACTCGGGTGGAGTGAAAATAATTTATTCAGTTCTTGCAATACAAAGCCCACAGCTATGTCATTGCACTGCGTTGTACCCACACCTGACGTGATAAGTGAGTAATGTTGGCAATATGTTGTGCGGAGGCATCACTCACCATTAGGAATGGATACTGCACAGACTTTGGAATGGCTTGTTGGGAAATTATACCGGAGTTGGTTTGGACTGAGTCCAGTTTTGCTCGGATGTTTTTTTTCACTCATCAACTAAATCTCCACTGTTTTGCATAGAACTTTAGCATTTCGAAGCAGAGGTTTATTTAGACCGCATCTAAATGAAGAGCCCGCAGGTTAATGAAGCTACTGTTAGTGATGCAATGGGAAGATGGTACAGTGCCAGCTGCCTGCTGAACTATAAGGTCTGTGCCAGAGCAAAGCTGGTGAGGATAGAACGTGCAGACAAACCTCTTCTGTGAAATCCCGTTCTTCAAAACTCCTCACACCGCAGCTCTTCTGACGCAGAAACTTACTCCTATCACAGTGGGGTGCACAATGGCTGGTGCTGGCTGGCACAGCGTAAATGTGGGTTGGGAACGATTCTACATTTTACTTGTGGCATCCGGCAGCAACCGGTGCAGTGGGAAGATGTTCCTGCACTGCTTCAGCCACTGCCCCCCGAAACTCTGGAACACTCTATCCCTCCACCTTGCCCCTCCTTCCCCATCTTCAAGTCACGCCTGAAGTCCTTTCTCTTCGATCGCGCCTACGGTCACCTTCTCCCTCCCCCTGGCTCGGGCTCCACCATTGTTAAGTGCTCTGAGATGCCGTCCGGCGTGGAGGGCAATATATAAATGCAAGTTGTTGTTATAATCAAACCCGTGTCCTCTCGCTTGCGAGGTGAGTGCTCTAACCACTGAGCTACAGGACTCTATGTCTTCCACCTGAAGAGCAAATGAAGTTAGGACTGTATTGCACATTATTCAGAGTAATGCATCTGTGATGATGAAATGCTCCCCCAGAACTGTGCTGGACTGTCAGCTTGGTCTATGAGCTGAAGTCCCAACATGGGGGCTCGAACCCATGTTGAGGCTTGAGAGTGCTGCAAACTGACCCCCAGCTGAAAGAAACCAGTGAAGGTTGGAAATTTGGAAGAAAGTCAGAAAATGCCTCTCAGATTACTCGGTCCCAAAACGAGCAATCTGATGATGCACCTAAAATCCACATTTGTCTTTCTCTTTCAGATGCTGATTGACTTCTTGTGTATTTGCACCACTTCCTGCTTTTATTTCAAGCCCTAAGGTAGGTCTGATTCACTTTGACAATGATCTTGGAACGATGTAGACCATTGCCTGAAAGGGTAGTGGAAGCAGATTCTACAGTAGCTTTCAAAACGGAATCAGATATGTACTTGAAAAGAAAAAAAAATGCAGGGCTATGTATGGGGTAAGAGCGGGGGGAGTGGGACTAGTTGGTAGCTCTTTTAAAGAGCTGGCGCAGGCACGATAATAATAATAATAATCCTTGCATTTGATATAGCGCTTTTCACGTCGGGAGGACGTCCCAAAGCGCTTCACAGAACACACTGTAAAGTGAATTGACTGTATATTTGTGGGCGAACGCGGCAGCCAATTGCGCACAGCAATGTCCCACAAACAGTCGTAGATTGAAAGTGACCAATTTATTATTGTTTTTGGTTTTGGAGGGATTATTATTAGGCTCTGTGTGGAGTAAGGAAACTTGCCCAAAGTTTCGCCCTCTGCCTGGAATTGAACTCAGGCCTCTCACTTGCAAAGCGAGTGCTCTAACCACTGAGCTACAGGACTCCACTATGGGCTGAATGGCCTCCTTCTGTGCCGTAGGATTCTATGATTCTCTATGATCCAGTGGCCACACACTGGAGGCCCAAAATGCCAGCTCGCGAAACATCCATTTTTGTTCTTAACACTTAAGATCACAAAGAATCGTGGAAAGAATTAAATTCTTAATTTTGGAAAGTTTAAAAAAAAAAAATCTTTTTTAAGAACTGCTGCACCTGAGGTCAAGAGCAATTCTTCTCTCAGAGGGTTCTTGAAGAGAAAGCTGCGCGCCAAACAAAAGCGGAATCAATAGGGAGGGATGTTTAAAAGAGATACTTGCAGAGTGGAAGTGTTAAGACTCTTGGCGAAAAGGTGGGCTGGTGGGAATTAAAAGGTCTGCCAAGATCTAATAACTTCACCCACAAAATATAGTCAATTCACTTTACAATATGTCCTGTGAAGCGCTTTGAGATGTCTCAAAGACGTGATAAGGCGCTATATCAAATGCAAAGATTATTATTGTTGTTATTATAACCTGGAACAGGCTTGATGGCTGAATGGCCTCCTGTTCCTGTTTTCCTATGAAAGAAAATACCAACAACAACTTGCATTTATATAGTGCCCTTCATGTGGGGCAATGTATCGGAGGGTTTAACAGGGGCAGAGTCTGAGACTTTCAAATTAAGTGAATTTTTGAATTAAATTGATTTGTCAAGGTAAGGCTAAATGTACGATTTGCCTCAATTTTGCACTCGCACACAAAACAGACTAAGAAGACAGGTTTGAATTTTGCTTTCTACCGCAAACATCTCTCCTTTTCCTTTTTACTGCACCTGTCATATCCGCAACTCTCTCTAACTGCTAAAAAAAAGTCATTTGTCCATTCAGGTGTTGCTCTGTTCACTAGGCATGAAAGAATAAAAATAGACATATTGCCATGTGGACTTATCCTAATGTGCGTTCACAGGCAAACAGAAACAAAAATAAACTAGCGCCTCTCTCTGTATCCCTGGGAAAGGTTTACTAATCCACTCGGGCAACCTAGACTGGACAGAGGTCTGATTGCTGCTTTAGGACTTACTTACTATCACTGAAGCAGTGGAGTTGAGGAAGATATTAATGTGTGTTCTCCCTGAAAGGAAGGTACTCGGAAGAAAAAAACACCAATATGAATTAAACAAAAGCGGAATCAGTTAAACGCGGAGTATGAATGTATTCGTTGACTCATTTTCTTCCATTACACAGTTGTCTCTGGCTCAAATCTGCTCCGTAGAATTAGTCAGAATTCAAAGTATTTACCGAGTTCCACTGATATAAATGAGGCAATGTTTAATGTTACTGTGGCAGAATGTATGATGTTGTCAGCTCGTCTGATGTCTAATTTCTTGCATTGTTAATTGAAGTAGGCAATTGAGTAGCAAATTAAATATTCATATAATTTAATTTAACCATTTGTTTGAGGCTATTAAAAATGTCATGTTTAACGGATTTACTGGCGCTTGATAAGCCGATATTATTGTACTGTGCGGTGTAGCGTGCGGGAAGGGGGAAAACTGCTTATAGTTTTACCAAATGGTCGGGACAAAAAGCAAAAGCTCTCTCGTACGGCAAGGCTCAATGCCGAGTGTTTGGTTTGATGCTCGTCACCAGTTGTTAGTGACCATGGATACAGTTGTGTCATTAGTCAGAAGAAACGGGTGATGTATAAACCACTGAAAGAGCAACACAGCTGTTCTTTATTTATGCTGCGAATTTTATAAAACGGCACAAATGAGCTTTGTCACAGGCCGCCCCACTTACCTTTATTTATACTTCAAACCTATGTCTTATACAGTGCGCATTCATCCGCAGACTTGTGATACGATATGTAGGTGGTTTAAAAATAAGGCTAGACGGAATAATATTTGCCAGGGCATAAATTAGGGGGACTTTTTAAAGCACCTCTTTTCACTCTGATTGTAAAATCATGAAGTCCGTGCTTATGCGCTTAACGTCTGCCGAGCCAAACCCAATTTGGTTTCAATGTTAGTGAGCTTTTAAGGCAAAATATTATCTTAAATAATGTAAAAGAGCTCCCTCCCAATGGTTCAGTGGGCAATTGAGATGCCTGGTGTGGAATCAAGCCATGCATAGCAGGAAAGCACAGGTTCCAACTCTGTAGTGAGTGGGAAGGTGTCTATCCCACATATGTGTCAGACTGGCTCAGTCAATACTCTAGCCTCTGAGTCCCAAGGTTGTGGGTTCGACTCTCATGTCGAGACCAGACTCATAGTCTAGGTTGACAATCCAACGCCTTTTTTTTGCTGACACGTGCGGATACCCATCGCCTTGATTAAGCGTCTCCAAACCAAGCTGAGAATTCCACGCATCCCACCCACACATAGAAATCCCAGAGAGAGATTATTGAAATGGAATGCGCTCTCTCTCTCTCCCGGAAGGGATGCACCCTGTTTACCTAATTCTAGAAAGTATTAGGCGCAGGTTGGCAAGAACCAAGGCTTGAGGCGAGCCCAGAGTGCGCGTTGGGGTAACTGCTGGAGTCTGACCAGCTAAACCACAATCCAGTGCTAGAGAGAGCTACATTGGCAGACTTTTGGATGGCATTAAACCAAGGTCCCATCTGTCTGTTCAGGTGGACGTTAACTATTTAAAAGCAAAAGGAGTTCCTCCCAGTGTCCTGGCCAACAATCAAACAAAACTGGTCATTCTTGGCTGTTTGTGGGACATCGCTGTGTACCGTTTGGGACACAACATCCGAATGCGACTGCCAGGATGGTAGAAGGCGAACACCAGACTCATAGGATTGCAAGGATTATTATTAACGTTAAATTATATTATCATTATCTGAGGCAGTAATATGCGATAGCTGCAGTCTTGCCTCGGTTAACCTGGGCTGGAGAAACGGGATGGTGGGGGTGGACAATCGGCTACCGCAGGTTTCTGCTTGTGATGACTACTGTCGTGAGTTCTGCTGGATATACACTTCATGTGTGAGGTCAGGGTATGGCTGTGATGACCTCTATAATAATAATAATAATCCCTGTGTTTGATACAACGCCTTGTTACGTGGTTGAGATGTCTCAAAACGCTTCACAGAATACACTGTAAAGTGAATTAACTGTGTATTTTGTGGGTGAAACTCGGCAGCCAATTGCACACAGCAGCGTCCCACAAACAGCCATGGATTAAGTGACCACATTTTTGGGGGAGGGATTATTGCCCCCAGAAAGCAATCTGCCAATCGACTAACAACCGGGTTCCTACTTACTGCTGGTAAACAGATATGTGGAGTCCTGTAGCTCAGTGGTTAGAGCACTCGCTTTGCAAGCGAGAGACCTGAGTTCAATTCCAGGCAGAGGGCGAAACCTTGGGCAAGTTTCCTTACTCCACACAGAGCCTAATAATAATCCCTCCAAAACCCAAAACAATAATAAATTGGTCATTTTCAATCCACCACTGTTTGTGGGACACTGCTGTGCGCAATTGGCTGCCGAGTTTTGCCCACAAATATACAGTCAATTCACTTTACAGTCTATTCTGTGAAGCGCTTTGGGAAGTTTACAAGACGTGAAAAGCGCTATATCAAATGCAAGGATTATTATTATTATTATTTATTATGTGGAGTAAGAAAACTTGCCCAACATTTCGCCCTGCTTGCGAGGCGAGTGCTCCAGCCACTGAGCTGCAGGATTCCTCTGTAGCTGAGTGGCCTGCCATCATCCACTGCCCTCGCTCCCAGTTGAAGAATGACCGTTTGGAGAGGGAGCAGAGAGATGCAAGCATGAATCACAGCTTTCCGGAAAGCAGCAGAGAAAATCTGAAAATAAATTGACGACATATAGTTTACAAGAAGTCAAAGAAAAATGATTGTGAATCGATACCCAGTGGCGCTGGGTGGCACTTTAGATTAACGCACCCTCCTATCACCTATAGACCTGGCTTTAAATTTCCTAGATGAATGGGATGAAAGTCTTTGCCTGGTGTTCAGGCTCCTGTGATGTTGCATTGATATTACAGCCTGCATTTTGACAGCAGATGTGTCAATATAAATCAAGTGGCTCTGTCTTCAACCACCTCTGGAGGCTACACACTGCAGACAGGAGCACTGGAAGAGCTTGCTACCATGTTTTACTGGCCACAGGTTGAGAGGTTAGTCAACCTGTATAATAACAATAATAATAACAATAATAATAACATCAATAATAATAATCCTTGCATTTGATACAACGGCGAGTGCTCTAACCACTGAGCTACAGGTCTCCACAGTCCTGTATAAGTCACAAATGCAGTTGATCTTGAGTTTGGAACTAACAGAACTAGACGTGAGTGTTTGTGTGTGTGTGTGTGTGTTTGTGTGTAAACCTGCAGATGTACACTTGTTTCTGAGCTGCTGCTACTGCTGCTGATTGTACTTCACAAAGTAAAAATAAACATTTAAACAAATAATAATTTGGTCACTCATTCCACGACTGTTTGTGGGACGCTGCTCTGCGTGATTGGCTG